CATTGAATGACTCGAGCATGTCCAGAGAAGGGCAACGGAGCTGGGGCAGGGTCTGGAGCACAGGTCTGCTGGGGGGCGGCTGGGGGAACTGGGGGGGTTTAGTCTGGAGAAGAGGAGGCTGAGGGGAGACCTCCTGGCCCTCTACAGCTCCCTGCCAGGAGGGTGCAGAGAGGGGGGATGAGTCTCCTGAGCCAAGGAACCAGTGCCAGGCCCAGAGGGAATGGCCTCAAGCTGCCCAGGGCAGGGTCAGGCTGGCTCTGAGGAAGGATTTCTGTGCAGAAGGGGCTGTTGGGCGTTGGAATGGGCTGCCCAGGGCAGGGGGGGAGTCCCCATCCCTGGAGGGGTTGAAGAGTCGGGCTGACCCAGCGCTGAGGAATCTGGTGGAGTTGGGGAACAGTCAGGGTGAGGTTAATGGTTGGACTGGAGGAGCTTCAAGGTCTTTTCCAACCTGTATGATTCTGGGATTCTGAGTAGGGGGGTGGGGGGGGGAGCATGTGGGTATGGCTATGGGTTGGGGACCATGGCAATGTGGCAGGGGGGGCATAGGGATATAGCTATAGGTATGGGGCCACCGGCGTATGGTAATAGGACAAAGATACATGGAAATATGTCTGCGGAGCAGAGTACTATGGGACCATGGCTATAGGCCTGGGGCCACAGAGTCATGGCCATGGGGCAGAGGCTTTGGGTCAGGGCCCACAGGGACATGTCTGTGTGTCATGGCCCCCAAGACCATGGCAGTGGGATGGAGTCCATTGGGGTATGGCTATGGAGCAGGTGGCCATGGGGCCACGGTAATGGAGTGATGGAGTTACATGGGACATAGCTGTCTATGGGGTGGGATTGCTGTGATCAGGGGCACTTTTTATGGCATGTGGGGACACGGAGACAGAGCTTTGGAGTGGCATTGCTACAGGTCAGGGAGACACTGGGATGTGGCTATAATGGTGGGGGCATGGAGGACATGGCAGTGGAGTGGGGAGAACATGGAGACATGGAAATGGGGTAGGGAGGATGTGGAGGATGTATATGGGGTGATGGGTACATGTGGGATATAGCAAGAGGGGCACTTTGAGACACGTCTGTGGGATAGGGGGGACATGGGGACATGGCCATGGGTTGAAGGGCTGTGGTGGGGTTGATGGGAGGGAAGGCTCAACAGGTGTCTTCCAAATCCCCTAGTCAAAAGGAAACTCTGGGTGACCATGAGCCCACCTGACTCTTTCAAAGAGGTCACCTCTTAGAGGGATGTCCCTGCCTGGTAGACCTGGTAGATCTCATGTGGCATGTCCCCATGGACAGGCAGCTGAGGACATCTCCCAGTCACAAGAACTGTGTGGGGACAGAGGGAATGGGAGGATAGAAGGACCTGGAGGGCACTGAGAAAGGCATCTCCAGGGACACAGGCACTGGGGAACAGATGAAATGGGCTGTCCCTGTCCTGCAGAGTCCCTGAGCCCAGGGAAGGTCAGGAACAGAGGGGCTGGTCAGGTATGGGGCCAGCACAGATCCCTGTTGTGGACTCAGCTGGGCACAGAGCTGGACCTATGGCCATCTATAGGTGTTTCTGGGGGGAGGTAGAACCAGGATATGTATCCGGGTGGGAAATGTGGGTATCTCCATGGGAGACCAAAAGGGCTGAAGTGGGAAGAAAGAAAAATGTAGAGAGGGTCTAGGGAGGACCACGTGGGGCAGCCGAGAGCCCCGGAGAAGTTCAGTGGCTGTTTCACCCTTCCCCCCTAGATTATAGCCATACAAACCCCATCTGCCGAGCCCTGAGCCCTGCAGTTTTGTTCCTGCTGGGGCCAGTCGTGGCAGAGGTTGTGCACAAAGGAGGGCAGGATGTGCCTGCCTGCAGCTTGCAGGAGGGCAGGGAGCTACAGGTGCTGCAGCCTTCAGCACTGTGGGATCCCTGGACAAGCTGCCACCTGTCCTACACAGCTCCAGTCCCACAACCCATCCTTTCCCTGCCCTCCTCACTCCTACATCACCCAAACATGCTGTGAGACAGAAGGTGGTTTGCGACAACGAGGGCATATCAAGACCTGCAGGAAGCCACCCAGCTGTTCACTGCCTCTGGCCAAAGCCTTCCACTGAAGAAGCCCTGCTTGAGCCGAGGGCAGAGGTAGCCCAGAGGGACGATACTGCCTGTGACCCCCGTGCTAGCCTTCAGTGAGTGCCAGAGGCTGTGTGGGCTCGCAGAGGTGTCTGGGGACTCCATTGAGATGTTACATGGCTGTTTCTCTTGCAGGTGCTTGGCTGGTGGCACAGAGCAAGGCTACACCAAGTGAGTATCATGAGGAGGTAGACAGGGAGTTTGGACACATCTCTGGTACCCCACCCATCTCCAAGGGCTCTTTTCCAGCCCCACAGAACAAAACTCACCCTATGTGGAGATGGGGCCTGGAGCCAGCTCCAGGCTGACCACAGGGCCAGGGGTCTGTCTGGCAGCATCTCTCTCCCTGTGCAGGTGTCCCCACAATCTCCATCTTCCTGAAGCTGCCTGAGGTGATCCCACAAGGAGGCTCCACCACCATCTGCTGCAGTTGCCAGTGTGACAAAGGGACCTTCATGCTGTACAAGGATGGCTGTCAGCTTCTTACCTTGGAGCTGCATGGCAGCAGGGCCAAATTCTCCATCTCTAATGCCACCCGGGAGGACACAGGTGCCTACAGCTGCCATTACCTGGGTGGAGGCACCATGCTGGTTCACAGAGAAACCCTGGATGTCACAGTGCAAGGTGAGGGATATGCTGTTACCCCTTCATGTGGGGTCAGATGCCACGTGGGCAGAGCAGGATGTACGTATCCACCTGGCTTCCTCATCCACATGATGGGCAGGGTTTTTCACCTCTTCCGGAGCTTGGAGAGGTGGGGACCATTGTCAGCTCTGCCTGAGCCAGCTGGTGCGATCCTGGAGATCCTGGTGGCTCCTGGCACCATGTCAAAGCCCTTCACACCTTCTCATGCCCTCTCCTCTCCCCACAGAGTTCCGTCTCCCTCCACCTGTCCTCTCTGTCCTGCCTGGGCAGGAGGTGGCTGAAGTAGCTTCCATGATTTTCCGTTGCACCATCATACACTCCAATGCTGGCTGTTTCCTGTACCTGGAGGGCCAGGTCAAAGCTCTCGACTTCCTCCCTAAGGAACGAGATGATTTCAACCTCTCCCATGTGCATAAAGTCAATGGGGGCCGCTACAGCCGCCAGTGTTTCACCAAGGTTGCTCTGGTCGAATGGTCTCCTGTCAGCCAGCCTGTGGATTTGGTGGTGAAGGGTGAGACATCCCCCCAGCCACAGCCTGCTCTTTCCTCCCTTGGCATCTGACACATCCTGGGGGAACTAGAAAAGAGGCTGTGAGGGAAGAAAGCAGCTGTGACAGGAGTCCAGGCAGCGGATTACAGTTTCCTTCAGAAGGGTTTGAGCCTTGCCAGCTCCTCAGAGACCCTGTGAATTAGCCCCTACGGACACATGCTAGGCTACCTGTTGGGGGGCAAGGCTCAGGGGACGCCTCTGCCTGCAGCTGCCAGCCCCAGGGAGAGTTGTACATCCCATCACAGCCCAGTGGCACCATCCGGCTGGCAGAGGCTGGTGAGGGCCAGCTCCATGTTCCTGTCCTCGTCCCCATCTTTGGAGCCACTGGGAGGGGTGACAGGTCAGAGACAGTGGGGAGGGGGCATCCCAGGCAGTGTGGATGTGGGAAGCAGAGCTGAGAGAGCCCCCGAGGCTCCCTGTGAACTCCCCTTTACCCCATGAGCTCCCCAGCGTGTCCTGTGTGTCTGTTTGCCCTGGGAGGCCCATGTGTACCCTGGGGTCACCTGCTGCCCCCACAGTGCATGGCTTGGCGGGGGGGTGCGGCTGTGAGCTGTGTGTCTCTGTGTGTGTCCCTGTGTGTGTCCATCTCCATGTGTTCGTGTCCATGTGTCCGCTTCCTTCTGTCCCCCCAGGGACAAGCACCTTTCCCCAGGGGTGGTGGTAGGGCCGAATAACCGGGCTCAGACTGCACAGATTTCTGTTGCTCACATTCGTTTATTATTTTAAAACACTGACGAAATACATCACACCATGATCTATATATATAAATTTACTTTTATACAGATATAAATTTATATATATAGGACCTTTAAACCTCTGTATAGTCAGGACACAAAGTTCCAGAATAGCTTCACTGGCTACAACAAAAGTATTTTTGTTATGAAAACACAGAGGTGTGAATATCAAAAAACGCAGAAAAAAGAAATTAAAAACAAGTGCAAAATGAATGAAAGTGCAAAAAAGCTTTTGTTATCATAATCACACTCCTTCCAAAATACGCCCCCCCTTTCCTCCCTCCAAGGACAAGCAAGCCCCCGGCCCCGAGGGCAGGGGAAGAGGGGAACCAGGCTGCAGCCCTGCTCCGGGGGTCCCCTCCCAGGGTTGAGGAGTGAGGGACAGAGGAGCAGAAGTGGCCTTGTCACATCCCTCTCGTAGCCCCCTCCTCTTCTCCAGCGCCCCTCATTGCACTCACAACCCCACATTTGCCTCTGCAGGCAGCAGCCACCCCATGTCCTTGACCCTCCTCGACAATTTGGAGGGTTTCTTGATAAAAGTGCCTGTGGATGGCAGGGAAAGCAGCGGGGATAGGCAGGGGCAGGCGGCCGTGCTCTGCCAAGGCTCACGGCCACTCTCCCCGCTGAGCTCCAGGCTGGCTACTCTCACGGAAATGGAGACCTTGGCCTCGCACCATCATGGTGCTGCCCATTTCCACGAGGGGAAACACCTCCCTGAGAGGCTCCAACCACTCCCATTCACCCAGAGGCACCTGTGGACAAGCCACTCCAGGAGACACCCTGTGCCCAAGGCTGGAGCATGTGGTGGGACATGTCCCAGGGCTCCAGCTGAGCCCCACCACCACCATCTGCAGCAGCAGGAATGGCAGGAGCACAGGCTTGGGGGCCTCCATGCAAAAAAAACACTTGACTTAAAAGATTCTTTACTGACTTAGAAATTTTGGCAGTAGTCACATCTCTCAGAAAGACCCCAGAGAGGAAACCGTGGGCCAGACTCAGCCCCATTGTCCTCTCCAGTTTCTTAGTGACATGGCAGTGGACATCCCTGTAAGGAGTTTGGTCAGGCAACAGGGCAAGGGTGAAAACCTTTGGTGCTTCTGCCTTGGTCACTGCTGCCCTTGATCCCAATCAATCAATCAATCAATCAATCAATGAATCAATCAATCTATCTCTGTGGAGATGAAGGACCTGCCCAGGCCAGGGCTGCAGCAAACCTTCCTTCTGGCTTCCCTGCTGGGACCAGAGAAAACTTCTGCTCACAGAGGACACTTTGCCCATGACCCTGGGACCAGAGCCCGCTGCCTCCACAGCCGCAGAGACCACCACGCTCACAGCAACACACCAACAGTAGGGGAAGTGGCGTCATGGTACTTCCACAAACATCCCTCCACACATACACACACACACACGATGCTTTGGGTTTGGTTTGGTTTCAAAGGAAACAAGAAGGTTTTAAGTTTTAACAGTAAATAGCCCTTGACCACCTACGAACCCTGTAACCCTCACCCCGATGAATCCAGCATCTTTGTACCCAAACAGCTGCTCAGGACAGCAGGTCAGCATGTGCCACAGACCCTGACATCTCCCATCACCCCTCCAGTGGGGCTGCTCCCAGTGCAGATCCCACGGGGACCCGGGCTCCAGCTGTGCAGCCAGACCCAGGCCCCAGCCAAGGTGCCCCCTTGGCAGGCCCGATGGGTTGCATCTGCTCTCCTGTGGGAGGCCAGAAGCCCCTAGGTGAGGCTGTGGCCTAGGGCTGGCACAGCACACACCTCTGCTGGTGGCCAGGCCTGCATCTAGCACCAGGACAGGAGCTAGTGGCAGCAGGTGTCCTGTGGGCCAGCCATGGCCTGGCTCACGGCTCCTCTGCCCCTCAGCAGGGATCTTCTGAGCTCACCCTCACCTCTGCTCTCTGGGGCAGCCCTGGCAGGGACAAGGCTCCCCAGCCTCGGGGCTAGTTTCAGACCTGGCACTTGGACAGCAGCTCCTCGCCCAGCACCCAGGGACAGTGCTTAGTCCTGCCCAACTGGAGGAATGACAGCACGAGGGAGATGACAACAGGCTGCTTTCACAAGATGTTTCCTTACAATCTCAATAACTTCGTCCTGTGCAAGGGAGCTGTTCTGTTCCAGATCACGCCTGGAGAGGGCTGAGCACTGCTCGCACAGAGTCTCACAGCTGGAGGTCCCAGGTCTCCTCCTCTTCTCCCCTGGCACACAGTGGCTCAGAAACAGACTCCCCATCAACTGAAGATACCAACTTCAGGACCATTTACTGCAGACCAAGGGTGACTTGGGGAGTGACTGTGGGACCTAGGGACACAGCTGTTCCTTCCCACTCCCCTCTCTCCACAGCTGGCCACACTGCAGTGCCTCAAGAGATGGAAGAAGATAAGAAAAAGAAGGGAGAGGGAGAGCTGCCTAAATCAAACCCAAGCATTGACAAAACAAACACATGGACTAGTTGCAAGTCCTGCATGGAAAGCAAGCAGCAGACGTTTCAAGAGCCAGGTCAAATGTGACCCTAAATATTCAATAACAAAGAGTCAAAATGCTACATTTCCATGGGAAGCCTAGAACAGATTGACCCAGGTGTGACAGCGGCTCCCAAGGCAGCGCTGCTCCGACACATTGCTGGTGCACTTGCTAAGATCCCTTCATCCCTATCTTTGGGCACTGGGAAAGTGGAAAAATTTGTTTTGCTACTGATATGTCATTCTTGGGAATGGGAAAGACAGTGGATGTGGGACTCAGATCACATCACTGCAGACTATGGTGAGCCCTGGGGGCAGGTGGCCACCCTCTAACACTGCACTGCCCCACCACTGCGCCAACAGCACCCACGGCAGGCGTGCACAGGGTGACAGACCACAGCAGGAGCCACGTGGGGGATGCCAGGACACACAGGGACTATCAGAACTCGCCTGGGACTCTGCCAGGACCCCCCAGGCAATGTTGGCTTTCCTGGCTCTGGAGTCCTAGCCTACTGGACCTCTCCTCCATGACAAGGGACAGTGTTACACGGGCATTCCCCAAGTGCCTGCACCCTTGTTGAAAAGGTGCTGTGTTACTAAAAGGACAGAAAAAAACCTTAACTGCTGAATTTCTTTTAGCTCTGCTTCAGGGACAGAAGATGCTGCTCATCAGACAGCAAAACCCGGGGGCCTTGTGAGGCCAAAAAAGGGGGAGAAGGCAGCTTGGCAGGATCAAGTCAGAGAACTCAGGAACGCCTTCAAAAGCGAGCCATGGATCTGCCTACAGAGGAATGGATGCTTCTTGTCCTTGGCAACTGTCTCTGCTCTAGAAAGGGCCTTGCTTCTAATAGGTGGACGAAAGAAGGCCCAGATCTCCTTTGCAGAGGGTTTTTTAATTTCTGCAAATGGATAGTTAATCAAGCATCCTTTCTCTCAGAGACATGCTAGCCAAGACAGCCCAAAGTGCAAGAGGAAATGGAGCTTGTTCTGCACCCCCCCAGCTCTGGCCCTATGGGCCCCTGGGCTGCTGCATTACAGTAAAGAGGAATAAAGCACAGATGCTGGTCGTGGACAGAGCAGCAGCCAGGACACATTGCTCCCTGGAAGGGGCAAGAGGTGGGTCACTGGTTCCCAGTGTAGCAAAGGGCCAGAGCAAAGTCATCCATCATCTGGCATTGAAAGGGAAAGTCAAAAGAATTCAGAGAAAAAGGAAAAGTGAGCTGAAGCTCCTTGCGACCATCCTGTGGAAACAATTTAGCACAAGCCCCCCCCCCAGAGGAACACACTGAGGGAAAAAACCTACCTCTCAGCTGCTGAGCAAAGCCAAGACCAGCCTTTAAATGGGTGCAAGCACATACGCAGACAGTGAGTCCCTTCCCTTCTCCAGGTGACTTGAGTAGTGGTGTCAGCCCCCAGCTGCTGCACCCTCTGCACTGCTCCCCCATCCCTCAACACCCCTCGGAGCGGGGCAGGCACAGCAGGACATGGGGGGCGGCTGTCACGCTAAGACAGACTAGTCCCACGCCCACCCCCCATCCCTGCAGCCGTGCCCAAGGCTCAGGGTCAGCCTGTACCCAGCGCTGGAGGACAAGGGCAGCGCGGAGGGGAGGGGAGAGGATGGGAGATGGACTGGTGGGAGAGCGGAGATGGGGCATCCGAGAGGACATGAGCAGGACATGACAAGCTGTGGTTGGTCGAGGGGAATCTCTGTCCTGACCAGTTAGTTTGGCAGCACCGGTGCTGAGGGAGGGTCCCGATCGGGCCAAGAAAAGTCACTTCAAGGTGTCATCAGCGTTCTTGAACATGAGGATGGCATTGTAGATCTTGAGTGCTGGGCCCAGCTTGACACTCATAATCTTGACGATGTCAGCCTGCGTCAGCAAGAGGAACGCCTCACCATCGATCATCTGGAGAGGAGAGCAGGGACAAAGGCACTCGCTGAAACCGGGGGCTGTGACTTCCAAGGGACAGTCAGCACGGGCACAGCCTGGGGACATGCACAGTCGTGCTCACCCTTAGCCAGGTGCCACAGATGATCCCAGGGAGTAGGGCAGGGGCCAGAGCTGGGAGCTCACGTGCCCAGGAACAGGACAGAGACGGGGAAAGGCCCTTTCAGGGGCTACCCCAGGAGCTCACACTGCAGCTGGTCTGGGCTTCTGTGCCAGACCGCAACAGACACAGCACACAGTCAGCAGGCAACCTGCTCTGGGCAAACACCTGTCCATTCCCCGGCTCCAGGCAGGCATGGAGGCTGCCCCCAGCTCAACTTTGTGTGCCTAAGTACCCTTAAAGCACAGGGGCCATTTACGAACAGGCTGAGACACTTGCTGTGCTCAGCCTGCCCCGGGTGTACGGCACGTGCCAGAAAGCAGCCACTCCGCGTGTCTGTCTACAGAGGGGCCTGAAAACAAAGAACCTGGCCGACAGACAGCAATGCCACCACACTGCTGTGCTGCTGAGAGAATGCAGGTGGGGAAGGATGACCAGAGGAGGAGTAAGCAGCTTCCCGCAGGAGATGATGGTGCTATGAAGGCTGCAGCACCAGCCTCCCGCTCCCCCATCCCAGCTTCCCCTCACTGATGCTGGGAGAGCGGGCAGCACAGCTCCTCGGGGGTCAGCACCTCCCCTCCCGCCTCCGTATCTGCCCAGGCAGACAGCAGAACACTTGCAGTGAGACCGCTGCCCCCAGGGCTGCAGGGCAGGATCACTGCCTGGTGCTGGACGGGCTCTCAGTATCCAGCAGCAATCTGCTGCAAGAAGGCCACTGGCCAGTCCCTCCCTGCCCTGTCAGCAAACAGCTGTCCTCAGCCACCCACACTCACCCTCCAGTCCTTCTCACCTCATCCTTGAAGAGCTTGGCTTGGTCCTCGCAACCCGTCAGAGTCTGAACAAAGCTAAAGACCTTGGAATAAACAGAGAAAAATGTCAAGGCAGAAGCAATGTTTCCAGCTGGAGACCCTCGCCACAAGCCCACATCCTCACTCCCACAGAAGCACTTTGCACCCCGTAAGGTACCATGTGGCTGCTGGGTCCTGCAGCACCCTCCCGTGCCTAGAGATCACCCCCAGACTATGGGTCCGTGCTGGGCTCTGCCAGCCCCCGAGCAGAAATGCCCCAGCAGCTCCACCTCCAACGAGCCACATCCAGCACAGCCAGACAATTCTCACCGAGGGGGGCGGGCAGGAGAGGGGCACACGGGGGGGTAATGGGGAAATCGGGCAGGGCTGCCTGCTGGGGCTGGTGCCACAGTGCCAGTGACCCAGGCCCTTAAGAGGGGCCATCGCAGATGCCCAAGGAAGTGAATACAGGTGACAATGAAAAACCTGGAGGTAAAGATTTCTTTTTAAGATAAACAGGGAAGTGACTTCTCATCTGCAGAGTCTACAGTTTAATTTTTCAACTTGGCAAAGATAAAACTGATTTATTTGGAAAACCATAACATGTTGATGAAGAGACTGCTGTTTGCCTTCACCTGCCTGCCCTGGGCTAGTGTCACGTTCAAGCCAAGCAAGAACCTGATAGTTCTAACTGTGCTTCCCAGAAGCTACCATCAGGGCTCAAGTCTGGCAGCTGCCCACACAGTACCCCTCAAGTGTGTCCAGCGGACCACCTTCTCATCAGCCCAGTGGCCACCAAAGCACCTCCGTGCCTGGTGTATGTACCATGGTGTCGCACAGCCAGGTAGAATGCTCCTGGCCATGACAGCAGGTTAGGAGCCAGCATGCAGTCTTCAAAACCATCTTACCTCATCAATGGTCCACTTGGCCACTGTGGTTGCTGTGATGCCAGCCACCCCTGGCAGGAGTTTGCAGTGCTGCTCCCAACAGAGTGACAGGGAGCGGTCGGGGTGGGCAGACAGGGCAGACATGAAGAGAGACTGGTGCATATTGTCTGAAGAAATAGCTAGTAACAAAAATGCAAGATGTGATACAAGGTAGAAGGATGAGAACATCCCATCCCATCCTATCCTGCACGCCTTGGGGAGGGCCCTGGGCTGGCAGCTGACGATCTCGGGGGTCCAGGTATCGAGAGCTAGTGGTTCTCCCTTGAATTAACAGGACATCAGTGTATCCAAGTGCTCAGTTTGGTGGGACTGGGGATGGCATGGGAAGTTTAGAGGCAAGCTGGGCTTTGCACTGTTCTCAGCACCTTTAATCATCCATTTTCCATACTGAACTAGACTTAAATGTCAAATTTCACACCAGAATGCCATCCTGTATCATTTAGTTCATTTCACATTTTTAACAAAGCTTTTCCCCTGCTCTCTGCTCCAAGGAGTCAAGGATGGCTCCCAAGAAGAAATCCTCTTCATTCACCCCCAGTGCTGGGGTAGGCAGCAGGACAGTCCATGGTAAAATGGATACTGGCTGGAATAAACATCTTATGTCAGTCATCAGAACTAAATGCCAAGCAAACTGTTCAGCATCAGTTTCTGTGCTGCAGCGATAATTTAGCACTTCACAACAACACCAATATTCTGGGGGACAGCAGTCACAGGATGAAGGCACAGCATCCCTGTCTGAAGAGCAAAAAGTGCTGGGGAAAATGCCCTGCCACAGAGAGAGGATCCCAATTCCCTGCCCTACAGCACTCCGAGATTCACAGCCAAACCAAGAGATGTGACGAGGGGTTCAGCAGAGCTCTGTTAAGAGGCAGGGACATTTCACGCCATATGGCCAACACTGGCAGGCGACCACAAGCTCCTCACTGGTGCTGACCTGCGCAAGGCCGGACTGAGCGAGCCAGGGGAGACCTGCCTCCAAAAGCCCCCACCCCAGCTCCTCGAGCCTCACCCCTGCAATGACACTGTGGCAGAGGATGGCACTTACTCTGGAAGTCTTCCTGCTGGATCTTCCGGTACTTTGGAGGTCGCCCTCTAAAGAGACAGGAAGACTGATTTCCAACTGGGTTGGGACTGGCCCGAGGGCCCTCCTCCACACCGCACAGAGCAATGCCTTGGCAGTGGGAGCAAGGATTACCTCTTGGACCCTGACCCAAAGGGTTGACAGCTAAAGACACAAAACACAGGAAGAAAAACCAAGAGAGGTGCCCAACAGAGCTGGAAGGACAAACGCCAGCTGCCAGCAACCGTGCTCCCCTGCGGTCAGGAGCCTCTCTGGCCTGACCATCCCTCCCAGGGATGGCAGTCGCAGCTCAGGGGCCCTGCGCAGCTGCACGGGGCTCATCGGGCTCGCCCCTACCTCCCATGGTGCCGAGATTTCTTTCGCTGAGGGAAGCCAATCAGGTTTCTTTTGCGAGTTGAGGCCTCGGTGTCGGACAAGTCCGCCTTAAGCCTGCCCTGGTTCTTCTCTGCCAGCGGGCACCCTGAGAGGCAGTAATGGGCCGTGAATCTCCCAGTCACGTGTCCTGACCCGTCACAACCCGGTGTGGGGCACTTCCTAGAGAAAAGAGGGGAGGCAAGTGTTGGACCCGGCTCAGAGCAGCATGCGGGCCAAGCCAGCAGGGCCACCCCTCTGCCCCTGAGCACAGGAAGCCATAGCCCTGGCCACAGAAAGCAGAGTAAAGATGTGTTGAACAAAATCCTGGGGTGGGGAAGGGGCTGGGCACACCCAGTCCCTCACGGTAAAAACACCTTCTCCACTGCCATCACAGTGACCCTGCACAAGTCACTACAGTCCTGATCAAGCAGGTCACTGGGGTTCACAGTCTCCATCTTCCTTTCCTTGACCCCACAGGCATCCAAGCTAGTCTCAGAGTGAGGAGGAAGCAAGTGTCACAAGTGTGGCCAGTAGAGAAACCCCTGGGAGACAGATTTGCCTTCCCTATCCTCACAGAAGTTCCACCATACTTGCTCCTCTTGACACCAGCCTACTGTGCTGGGGTCAGCACTACACCATGCCTGGTTTCCCCAGAAAAGGTCACACAAATGACTGACTGAGCTGAAGGAGATGCACTGTTCCTTCTCAGGACTTCCCAGCTCACAACCTCACAGTGAAAGACATCCATGATGGGTGGAAGAAACATCATCCTCAAAGCTGGAGTCAGTGAACAGCTTTTTAGAGGCACTGTCCCGTCCCAGCCCATACGTCCCCATGGGTAGGCAGGCACATGGGGCACTGCCAGGGGCTCTGAGTGCCTCAGGAGGGGTGCAGAGTGGGGGTTCACAGGAGTTGGAGTAGACGTGGACTCCAGGCTACCTTGGGGCCTGGCCTGGGGAGAGCAAGGGCTGCCCCTAAGCAGGGTAGCAGGGCTGTGCGTGGGGTGGGTGCACGGAAGGGCTGGTCACTGGTGGGGATGGCAGGGGGGATGCAGAGGAAGGATGGGCAGGGAAGCTGTACCCCTCTGAGCCATGCTGGAGAACTCACCTGTGGTGAAAGCTGTACTTGGAACTCTTGGTGTGAGGGATGTTCTTGCAGCCCAGGGTTGGGCAGCTCCCATGGGCAGAGGAGGCTGGTTCCTTTGGCCCTACACCAGGAGAAAGAGGAGAGACACTGTCATGGCTGCAGACCCAGGGCTCTGGGCTCCCTGCCTGTGCCACACAGGGAGGACTTTTCCAGCTGACAACTCCAAGAAAAAGCCCTTCCTCCCTGCCCACTCTCGGTCAGCATCTGCCCTCCCACTTCTGTGCACAGCAGGCGGCAGTGACAGTGGGGATCTGGCACACCTGGGCCCTGGTGTGAGGGACTGCCCCAGGCACAGGACTTACTGAGAGGAGGCTGCAGTGGGTGTCCAGTTTTTGAGCACCAGCCTATGGGGTGGATGTCTGGATGATCTGCATCAATCCAGAAATCATAGACGTGACTCCAGCCATCAAAATGGATCTGAGGAGACAAGCAGATTGGTCACCCTTCAAACCTCAGAGCACCTCCCTGAGGAGCTCTGGAGCCCTCCAAGCTAACAGCAGGGCAGAGCTGAACAAAAGAGTCTCCCCCATTCCTGGAGTGAGGCACTGGGACATAACAACCTCTGCACGGTGTGCTTCCACAGACCTCCACACACCTTGCCACAGGCAGTGAGTTGGGAAGCACAGGAGCAAGTCACCAGTGCATGGACACAGGCTCAGCACTGAGACTCCAGCACCCACCTTTATCCTGTGGTCTTCCACGTCCTCCACACTGGCCACTCGGATGAAGGAAGGAGTCCTCCTGTCTACTGCTTCCAGCTTCATGTTGACCAGGAAGCTGTGGGGTGGGCGCTAAGGCCAGGAAGAACCCAGGTCAGCGGGGAGCGGGGCCTTGATTCAGGCTCCCACACCCCTCAGCAGCTTTCCCAGCAGCATACACTCCTTGAGCCCAGCTCCCAGTCCTGGCCTGGCTAGGTAAGAGCCATCCCAGCTCACAGTGGCAACAGGAAAGAGTGGGGACAGGCCTCCCAGATCTGAGCTGTGTTTTAACAAGATGAGGCAGCTATGCCCACGGGAAGAAGGTCTCTAAGAGACACATTTTGGGGATCTATATCACAGCCACACTTGGCTGGACACAGCTGCTGTCACTGCAGTTAAAGACAACAACTACAAAGCGAGTCTAAATGATTCCCCATCATTCCCACCCCTGTCTAGCTGAGGGCATGGTCATACTTCCCATTTTTCCCAGTTTTGAACTATCTGCCAAAAATAGCCCTGACTTCTGAACCCTGAGTGTAGATCTGAACACGAGGCCTGTGGCAGGAGCATACTGAACATCACTTGACTTTTCATAAAAGCAAAGACCTGACAGTGAAGAAAACCTGAATTCCTGCCCAGACACATTGGACCAGATGATGCAGCACTCACCACTTTAAAGGCCCAGGCCGGGACAGCAGATGCTCCGGTTTCCTTTAAGTACTTTTCCCAGGTGAAGTTGTCAGGGTCAGGATAATCTAGAAGGGGGAAGATGCAGAGGTCAGACATAGAAGGATGGCAAATACCCCAGAATGTTCTGCTACTCCAAAGCACCAATCAAGTTCATGCCAGGCACACGGGAACCTGTCAGACATCAAGAAGTGCTACTATCGTCTCATGGACCATGAAATCCAGGATACAAAGAAGCAGAAACATCTAGGCCTGCACAAACATCTTGTGTCCTCCTTGTGTCTCCACTCAGCCTGACACAACCACCATGCTGCACCTGAACACGTGTACAGAAGCCTCAGCGGGAACATACCACCTCCTTGGGTGTGGCCTTGCTGAAGGAAACTGCCTGGGCTTGCAGACAAACAAGAGCCATGGGGTCTGTCCCCACAGGTTCCCCACGCCACCCTGAGAAGCCCATCTCCAGGGGGATGAACGACTGAAGGCTCTGCTCCCAGGCCACTGACTCACCTTGAGGAGGTGTGAGGGGTTTGCCGTGCTCCTGACACCATCCAACTGGGTGGATGTACGGACTGCTGGGGTCACACCTAGAAAACACCCGAATTCTTAGACAGGGCTGTGATACCTGGCTAATCACTCCAGACAGTGCGGGCAGCAGGGGCCAAGGGCAGCTTCTTGGCAGCACACCCAGGCCTGCACCACCAGCAGAAGCCCCTGCAGAAGCCAAGGTCTTCTAGAGCACACTTGTCCCTGAGAGGCCCAGGGGACCATGGGCCCTGGAGAGGCAAGGACTAGAGCAGGAGACTCCAGCTCAGAGGGGCAGGACACAAACACACCCGAGGTGCAGGCCCTGCCACAGAGCTGCCAAGGGAATTGCAACCCTCTGCTGCAAACAGGGAGACAGGCCATGCTCTTCAGAGCTCAGAGCAGTGAGAGCTGAGCAATCTGGGGGGCTCACATCCTGTTCATGGCTCCCAGTAGGTCACAGCGCACTAAGGTGCTGCCGCTTCGCAGGTCTGCCCTGGGACAGAGCAGGCAGCTGCTCAGCACCAGCACTGGAGGAGCAGCTGGGTACAGAAACCACTGCAGGCCCGCAGCTCCTTGGGGCGAGAAGTCAGAGGTCAGAGGGCTTCAGCCACAAAGGAAACAGAGCTGCTCTCAGGACCCTGATTGTACTAACTGGCCATTTTAATTGGCCTCAATTGGGACATCCCCCTGCCCTGGCCACAATCCCCTGACTACAGACACAGGAGCTCCTTTTAAGATCAGGCCTTCAGTCTCTGCATTGCAGGTGGCCCCACTCCCAGGTGTGTTTCAGGGCGGGTCCACAGCATGCGATTATGCCTGGTTTTGCCCCATGTTAACTACAGGGCCATGGCAATGTGACATGGAACAGGTTAAGGTGTGTCCCCCAGCACAAGGGGGTGGTCCTCTGCCTCTCTGGACTACTGGTGGCCTGTCTGCAGCAGCATGTTGGGATTGTTCCATGCTTTCGTGAGCACCCCCGTCCCTCTTGCTGAAGCAGTGACAGTGTCTCCCCAGCACTGGAACTTTGAGAGCCCCTGTGCACTTACCAGTAGTCATAAGTATCATCCCAGTTGTCAAAGTGCACCAAAAAGCGATTGTCCACCACATCAGTCACTGTGGCCACACAGATCAGGGAAGGGTTCATGCGATCCACAGCTTCGAGCTTCATGCCCACCTCAAAGCCCGGGGAAGTCTCATGCTGGGAGAAGAGAAGGGAAGGTTTCTTTCAGAGCCACGGTCCCAGCACCCTCCTCACCACTTCTCTTGCCTGCTGCAAGGAGGTACCTGCCCAAACCCTCCCAAAACCAGATCCTCCCTGGCCTCCAGGCAGGCCCAGGACCATTCAGGATCCCAGAAGGGCAGAGCCCTGCTGCGTATGCAAGAAAAGAGGCAGCAGGTAAGTAACTCAGCTTGACCACACAAAGAAAAAGGAAATGTTCAGAACCTCCAAGAGAAAAACAGCCTCCAACTTACACTGATTTAAATTTTGTCACAAAATACTCGTTTGTGGTCACACTTCTCTAATGTTAGCTGCGATTGATGCCCTAAGTTTGGCAGGAGGAGCTGGGATGGGGCCCTTCATCCTACCTCGCCTTTATTTCTTGGATCCAAAATCTGTGCAAAATGCTGCATCACGCACACTAGTGGGGTTGCTACAGCCATGAACAGTAGGGTTTAGTCACAATAAATGACTGAGAGAGGCTGATTTATCAGTAGGTTTGAGTTTCCTCTGCAGCTGACAAAGACAGCATGACCATTTTGCACTCTGCTATATTCCCACTTTTCTTACCCAAGCTGCCATATGAAAAATAAAGGCAGAGACAGAAACAATGAAGACTCAAAACAGAGACAAAAGAATTACACTTGTGAAACATTAACTGAGAGTTTTGGGCAAAATAATTGCTGAGAGTAGCAGTTACTTCGCCTCACCAGTACTTTCGCAACAGATTTACATGTCCACAAGACTGACCTGGATGAAGCAGTGCATCAGACCAATGCCAATTCTGGGCACACAAAACTAGTGTCCAAGCTACAGGTCCTCAGCAGCAAAGCATGCCACAGCTCATTAAGAAATTCCCACAGTACACTCTCCTGGCCGTCTGCACTGTGAGCTTTGAGAAGTGTGGGGTGGGCAGAGAAAAGCCCAGCACTGGCAGAGGCATTCTGCTCAGCGGGAGGGGAAGAAGTCACACCTGAACCTGCGGGCTCTGGCAGGAAGGAGAGGCTGCTACTCACAGTGTTTCGGACCATGAAGAGGTGCTTAGGAGCTGCTTGAGCCTTTGTTATCTTCAGGTAGTTTGTCCAGCTGAATTCTTCTTCCTTATAACCTACAACCCCTCAGGAAGAGAAATGAGAGCAGCAAGTTCACAGAGAGCAGCCAGAAGGTTGTGAGGCTGAGCCCAGCCCTCACTCTGCTAGGCACATCCTGCTGTGGGTGGACAGGGTCTACGGCAGCCCTGGGAAACCCAGAGCCTGTGGCTTAGGCTTAATGGCTGATTTTGAAGGGATGCTAAGAAACATTAGCAGTGGAATAGAAATCCAGAGCTCAGCTCCTCCCTGGAAACCATCAGTCCCACCTGCCCTGGGGTATAGCTGCTGGCTCCATCCTGGCACTGGGACATCCCAGGTGACAGGGCATTGCCCCAAAATGGAAGTGAGCAGAGATCTTTAGCATGACGGGTGCCTGAAAGGTTGTCCTGTGGAACTGCCCCAGTGCAGAACCCCAGAATCATCAAGGTTGGAAAAGACCTTGAAGCTCCTCCAGTCCAACCATTAACCTCACCCTGACTGTTCCCCAACATCATCAGATCCCTCAGCGCTGGGTCAGCCCGACTCTTCAACCCCTCCAGGGATGGGGACTCCCCCGCTGCCCTGGGCAGCCCATTCCAACACCCAACAACCCCTTCTGCAAAGAAATCCTTCCTCAGATCCAGCCTGACCCTGCCCTGGGCAGCTTGAGGCCATTCCCTCTTGTCCTGTCACTTGTTGCTTCAGTCAAGAGACTCATCCCCACTCTCTGCACCCTCCTTCCAGGTAGCTGTAGAGGGCCATGAGGTCTCCCCTCAGCCTCCTCTTCTCCAGACTAAACCCCCCCAGTTCCCTCAGCTGCTCCTCATAAGACACATGCTCCAGATCCTTCACCAGCTTCATTACAGCATCCTCTGCTGGGCCCCATGGAGCCACACTGTTCCCATCTCCAGCTCTACATTTGGGGGCCCACTACTCATCCTCCTCCTTCAACAGTGCCTTCAGTGTCTTCACCGAGACTTGCTAACTCCTTACCTTTTGGGGGCTGGAGTTTGTGCCCTGTCTCCTCAAACCAGCCAGCAGGGTGGATGTCGGGGGAATCGGCATTCAGCCAGAAATCATGGCACTCCGAGTAGCCATCAAAGTGGAGGCGCATCCGGTAACCACACACCTACCAGCAGGGAGGGCAGGAAAAGGAAAGGACCATGGAAACCTCCTGCTGTCCCTGGCTGAGCATCACACCTCCTCTCTGGCACACAATCTCAGTATATCACTTAGGGAAGCCAAGAGCTAATCATAGGCAGTGCCCAAACAGGAAGCACATGCCAGTCCCAAAAGGCATGGAACAGGGTAAGTGCAAGGCCACCACAAGCCAGCCCTAAGAAGGGAGGTTCAGGCTGGGGCGTAAGATGCCACGGTGGAGCACCTTTGTGGCTCCAGCAAGTGCAAGAATTCCCTTTTCTGCACCCAGGGGAGATGCTGGTGCAGTATTTTGGCTAAATGCCATGCTGTTTTGGTGAAATCTCTCCAGTGGCAAAACCAGCAGTCACGGTTGTATGACTGACCTCCCCGGCTGCACGGGGAGCGCTGCGAGACAAGACTGTTTCGGCTGCCACATGGCTGAGAGACTCCAGACAGGGCCTCCACGGACACACGGAAGAGCAGTGGTGTATCTCCACACCCACCATCTCAAGGGGCATCAGCTCGAGGATAAGAAGCTGCTGCCAACACCACAGTCTCTCCCACCATGGCCCTGCTGTGTCAGGGTGATGGAGAGGCCAATTAGGCTGGGGCATAGCAACTGCTCCACAGCGCTGAGAACTGGAAGGAAACTCCCCGTTTGCTTGCCCAAGGCACTGGAGCACCAGCTCATCTCACACAGTGAGAGGCAGGTGAGGGCCCAAAGCCTGTCTCCTCCGCAGGAGAGGCAGCAGCCCCTCTGCTCCCACAGAGCCCCCCATTGTGTGGGTGCCAAGAGGAACCAAGGAACACGGGAGCCAGAGGCGCCTTACCTCAGCCACTGTCAGGATAAAGTACATAGATGGGTGCTGTGGATCAATTCCCTCCAGCTTCATTCCCACTTTAAAGCCATTCTTGTGTTGGGAAGCTACTTGGTACTGGAAACAAAAATTAAACTACAATGTAAAAAGCAACACAGGTAGCTGGGTCTAGAAGCATCCCAATAAGCAACCATCAAGCAATGGGAGCTACTGGGACTGGGAGATTGTGGGCCACAGGTTATGTTATCGTCCAAATTTTAATTCTTTTCTCGTAGAAAAACACATTATTCCACCTCCGTGTGGGTTTGCACTCTTTTTACTGGCAGGGCAGGTGTCCCTGGGCTAACAGCCGCAGCCAAGGAGACTGGGGCACAGGCCTGGCTCCTTTTGCACCCTGGCAATCAGACACCTGGGAGCAGGGGTGCAGCACAGCAGCGTGGCCTCAGAAGAGCCCACACCTGGCTTTGAGGAAGGGCTGGGAAGGCTCCACCACCCTGCCAGAGCCACAGTGGTGTCCTAGGCAAATGTGGGGTGCTTGAGAAGGGGGACAGCACCCTGCTAGGAAGTGCAACTCGGGGCAAATCAAAACTGGAGGCTGACTGGTCACATCCAGGTGAAGATGGGAGCTTGCTTATTGCTCAGAGTCCCGCAAAAAGGGAAGCAAGGAAGAGAGGAGAAGGAGGAAGGGTGGGAAAAAAAAAAGGGAAAGAAAAAGAGAAGATGAAAGAGGGAAAAAGACAGGAAAATCCCAACTCACATCCTGGAAGAGATCTAAAGGGGCAGCGACAGCTTTCTGCTCCTCCAAGTAGGACGCCCAAGACCAGCCTTCTTTCTTCTCCTCACTGGCACCTGAGCGCAGCACAAACGCACACACAAGAGGCGCTGCTGAGGGACCACTCCAGCCCCCCGCCCCGTCCCCCCCCACGGGCGAGCGCATCGGTCCCGCCGGGGCTGCATCCCGCTCTCAGGCACAGTCCTGTGCAAAGCTCAGCACCATCCTACCAGAGCCCCTTCTGGACACACCAAACCTGTTGACTGAGGAGGGACAGAGCCAAGTGTCCCCCATGACCCAAATGTCTTGTGTCACTGTACAACGCTCTGGTAAGGCACCCAAGGAGCCCAGGGACCAAGCTCTCCTGTGCAAAGCACCAGGACACCCCTGCAGCCAGTCCTCCTCTAGCCAGGCCATCTGAAATGGCCACACCACTAATGGGTTTGGGACAGCCAGCATTCCAGCTGCAAGGGACTCTGGGGCAGTCAAACCAGCAGCAGGCTCACGTCCCACCGCTACTCCAGAGGCACCAGCTCTGCTATCCTCTGCTTTGAAACAACCACCTGAGCCCCCCTGGCAAACTGAGGCCACCCTGATGCCCTAAAGATGCATTTACCCTTATGGCATTCACAAAAATAAGACACCATTGTCTCTTCATAGGCAGTGAGGGGATCCTTCATGCCTTTGACCCCTTTGGGAAAGCCACAAAAGGCCTTGCCTGAGGCACACAGGACACAATCCAAGTCTTCTGCTCTCCAGCCACTTTCTCTCCCTGCTTCATACTGCCTGAAGGGACTGACTCTAGGAGTGCTGTGCCTATTCCAGCACTGCGTAATTCACAGCTACAGGTCAGCCATGGCTGACAGCCTTGGGAAGGACAGGCCAGAAATGCAGGAGAAAAACAGACCAACTCCTTCCTCCCTTGGGCTTAGGGGAAGTGGAGATGGAAAAAACAGGAACTTGTGGAAGAAATTAAAGCTGAACTTCAGTGAGCAAGGTTACTAACCTACATGCTTTGCTAACACTTAAGAGTGACAAACACCTTTATTATTCTTTAGGACACAGAAAAAAGTGGCAGGCATGTTTGGGGAATGCTGAAATAACAAGGCTCAGCACTGCTTACTTATATGCTGCATACAAGCTCTGAGCATGCTCAGGGCTCAGACTGTGGAGAAAAGGACCTGGCAAGCAAGTATGAGTTCCCTTCCTAATAGTGGTTAACTCAGTATTAACATCAGGGGTTAATGACATCAGGGGTTAATGACATCAGGGGTTAATGACATCTGGCCCCTGCTACTGTCCTTACATTTGGCCATGGAGAGGAGTATGAAGCTGGAACAGTTTAATTTTAGAATTACTTTGAGTATGACCTCACACTATCAAAGACAAAGGGTTTCCCCTAAATGTTTATTTTCAGTATTTTCCCAACTTTTCCTTCTCCCTTGCCCCCATCGTACTGCAGGAAAAAAACCCAAACACACAAACACTGCATCCCTCAGCTTGTCTCCCTTCCCTCCGTGTTGACAGCTCTGTGTTTGAGATCTTCTCTGATATAGTCCAGGAATAGATTCCCATGAGATGAGACAACCTTAATCTCCCAGCTCCAGTGGCACCAGACCTACAGAGGCAGCTCCCAAACCTGATTACATGAAGGAAGTTCCCTGTAAGACTGTCCAAAGGCAGGGCAAAGCCAGACATGGCACAGAATCATGTTACTGCTCAGGATAATGCCTCTTGGAACAAACATGGGTATCCACAAGCAAGTAATGAATTCAGCTCCCAAGGGGAGGGACCAGAAAGCACTGTACAGTACAGCCCAATGCCTGAAGAAGGCATAGCCATATCTGCAAGGGTGCACCCTACCACAGATAGAAAGAGAGGAAAGGAGAGAAATGGAAAGAGACAGAGAGAGCAGGATCAAGCAAGCAGAGGAGCTCACAAGCCTTCAGGAACATGTACCAGTGCGTTGCACTGGGAGTTTGACTCTGCTGGAGCACCAAAATTCTGGCCCAGCCCCACAGCAGGACTCCACACCCCACCGCCCGCCTGGCCCTCCATACCGTGCTGACTCCCGTTCCACACATCAGCCTCTGGATTGCTGATGGACGAGTCTCCTGCAGAGTTTTTCCTCTCTTCCTGCTTTTCCTCCTAGACATGAGATCAAACAAAACAGAAACCCATCAAGTTGGAGGTCTGCACAGAGGTTTATGCTGTGTGTTGGTGCCAAGGGCCATATTGTGCTCTGCAACATCCATGATTTGACTGATGCTTGGCCCGGGGCAGATCTTGGTGCTGAGTGGTAGAAAATCACATGTGGAGTGGATCTGTTAGTCAGGGCTGGCAAGCAGAGCTTCCTTGACTTGCCAGTCTCTCTCCCTTACCCAAGATACACATCACACACATAGACACTCTCTTGCTTCAACACTTACTTTAGTGGCCCAGAGTCAAGAGAGCAGCTGAACGTGTCCAATACCTACAGCTCAACCAGGACGTGTCTAGCACTGCCCAATCTGAGACGCTTGGTGTGCCAAACAGCCAGCCAAGTGTCTAGAAGCCCTCATGCTCCACAGATCCAAGTCTTTTTTGGCATTAACAGCCCAGAGGTTACCCCTTCAACATACAGCTGACGTAGCGCTGAGAAGCACCAATGAGAACCACGCATACAGCGGTGGCCCATGGCTCACCCTTGACATCAGCATGGGCACCCACATGCACTCCCTGCCCTCTTCCTACCATTTGCTCAGATTCATATTCTTCCTCCGAAGGGCTCTGGTAGTCCTTTCTCTTTCGTTTCTTCACCGGCTTGAGGATTTCAGTGGTATTGGTACTGCTGGCAGAGTTTTCCACAATGACGGACCTGCACAAAGGAAGGAGAGTAGCCACTGTGGTGCGGTATGTGGCAATGGCTGGAGTCTCAGTAAGGGAGTGGCTGCTGGAGAATCCCTGTCCACCCATTTCTTACTCACACACGCTCCCATCCCTGCTGACTAATGTACGTGCTCTTCTTAATGCAGGAGTTGGCAAGAGGCTAGAACAAGGGTACAGACCAGAAACATCCTCACACTCTTGGGTGTCAGAAACCTGAACCCAGGGATGGATCAAAAGCAATCTAGTTTTGTAGCAGGGCTCTAAGCTGCATCAGAGTTACACAGAGATGCTGGAAAATGAGTCCCAGGAGTCACACATCAGTAAGCAGAGGGGCAGAAATGCCCTTGTGACCCATGCCTCCCACTGCTGATCAGCCTGGAAGCACCCACTGCAGTAACCTCTTGCTGAGGCCTGCACCAGCAGATACATATTTATGAGGCCACAAATTGGGTAGGAGAAAAGTCTGGCTCCCGTGCTTGCTGCTGTCCCCTGGGACAAGTCCTCATCCGCCCCCTGCAGCCAGGGCACTCTGCCTACAGGAAAGAGGGAAACAAGTGGGGTCCCCAGCACCTGCCAGAAACAGATCTGCTTGCATCCCTTACTGGAGCAAGAAAGCCAGGGGAGGGAGAGCAGACAGACAGATGGATATGGCTCAGCACAGAGCAGACTCCCCTCACCTTTCTTTGAACTGTTGGTGGCAGTGCTCACTGCAGAAGCCTCTGCCTTCCCGGGCACCGTCCGACACGTGTCTCCGGCCACAGGTATCACAGTGGCACATGCTTTCTGCTGATGGCAGCTTGGTCTGCTCGGGTACATCTGAGTCAGAGGCAAGAGGAGCAGTGAGGCACAAAGCGCACCCAGGAACGGAGAGCAGGAAGCAGGAGACATTTGCTTCACTCAGGGCCTCCGTCAGACAATGCCTGCTGGGTGACGGTACCCACCCCAGAAGTGCCACCACAGTGCCCTTACCCTGAGCCACAGTAGGATTGTCCCTGCTGGTGGGTGCCACCTCTGAGTCACCATCTTTCTCCATGTGACCCTCCTTTATAGCTTCCACTGGAGGCATCTTATCAGCACTCACCACCTTTAGCGTCCCGTACTCATTTATTCGAAACTATGTCATGGAACCAGAAAACAAGGAAAAATAGTTAACAAGGATAGAAACGTAACTTGACTCTAGCAGGTGCATGTGAGCTGTGAGAATGAGAGAGAGATGATTTGGTCATTAGCTCTTCCAATGACAGAGGCGATCACAGCACCAAAGCCACCGCTGAGCCTGCCAGGGGAAGCACACTGCCTGCACCCAGGTGAACCCAGCACCGGCTGGCAGCACGAGGGGCAGGGTTATGGCAGGAGGACGCAGTGCCCTGAGGCTCAGTAGCAGCTGAGAAATCAGTGCATTTTGTGCAAGCTATTTCAGGGGTACACCTAAAGGTACCCACTGTCTAATGAGCACAAGGTCACTGTTTCCAGGGTGAGTGGAGGAGTCTGGTGAGAGTCAGCTCCAGCACAGATTGGAAAGGAAAGATGCCCTGCATAGCACATGGCATCCCTCTGCCTCCCTGTGCAGGGCAGAGCTGCTGCAGCCCTCTGGGCACCATGTGTGTGCTCTCTGCTAAGCTCACAAGATGAAGGGGCAAAGGGATGGGGCACAAGAAGAGCCTCACACACCCAGAACAGCCAAAGCATCCTCCAGCTGGGGCACAGGTACCACCAGAGGCCACGTCACATCCTGGTGGTCCCTGCCTGGCACACGCTGGGGCACTACCACTTACACGGGCAAGCAGCTGTGGGGAGGGCTGGGGGCAGGCAGACACTTACCCGCAGATTACTCCCAGGCAAAGTGGCCACTCCATCTTTCCACTCCAGCACACGGACTGTGCTGCAGGTCTGCACCCCACTGATCTGGGGAATGACAGTAGCTGTGATGGGCTCACTCCCTGCTCCCCTCTCTGGCCTCTCAGCCCCTGTGCTTCTCTGTGGTTCCCGGGGAAATCGCTGAATTTCTAAGGTGCTCGTGGGAAGGTTGATGGTAGTGGCATTTGCTTGAGAAGGGAAGAAAGGAAACAAACAACCAGAGGCATACACAGAATTCTTAACTGATGCAAATAAGGCTCAAAGGCAGCACAAAATGATAGAGAGGAACACTGTCTCCCAGTCGAGGGCTCAGTGCTGTGGGCTAAAGAACCCACAAGCAGGCAGCATGACCCAACAACATCTGCAGCCAGAAATGGCACCAACACTATCCACATTCAAGGGTTCCTACTTCAGCATAATCTCAGACTGTTCCCATGATCAGGATGCTCTGATGGGGCAAGATTGTGATGGCGAGCTCCTGGACTGCGTCCTCCAGTTTTGTTCCTTTTCAAAGGAACACACTGTGCAGCCCAGGGCCTCTCCACAGTGAGAACGAAGGCAATGGGAGCAGGAAAAAATGGGACACTTGCTTCTAAAGAACACCCCTGATCTGACCTCACACACATCTGTGCTTTGCTCACACACCTCCTGAAAGACACTGGTCAGCTGGCCTGAAAACTGTTGTTCCAGTTTTCAAGAGTAAGAAGGATGACCCTGGTAACTACAGGCCCGTCAGTCTCACTTCAGTGCCTGGTAAAATTATGGAGAAGGTTATTCTGGGAATTACTGCAAAACACTTGAGAGACAATGCAGTCACTGGTCATAGCCACACAGGTTCATGAGGGGAAAGTCCTGCTTAACTAACTTTCCTTTTATGAAAAGTTGACCCAGGAAAGCCAATAGATGTGGGTTTTTTTTCATTTTAGCAAAGCTTTTGATACTGTCTCTTGCAGTATTCTTCTGGACAAAATGACAAGCACACAGCTAGACAAGTCCACAATACAATGGGTGAACAACTGGCTGATGGGTTGGACTCGAAGATTTACAGTAAATGGGGTGACATCAGGCTGGCAGCCAGTCACCAGCGGGGTTCCACAGGGCTCAATTTTAGGGCCAGTGCTCTTTAATGTTCTTATAAATATTCTGGATGCAGAAGTCAAATGCACATTAAGTTTGGCAATGACACTAAACTAGGAGCTGTGGACCCCCTTGAGAGTTGAGAGGCCTTACAGAGAGATCTGAATAGACTAAAGAGATGGTCATTCACCATCTGTATGAAATTTAACAAGAGCAAGTGTCAGATTCTGTACCTGGGACGGGGCAATCCCGGTTACACGCGCAAACTGGGGGATGAGAGGCTGGAGAGCAGCCCCACAGAAAGAGATCTGGGGGTTTGGGTTGACATTGAGTAAGAGTCAGCAGTGAGCCCTGGCAGCCAGAAGGGCCAGCCCTGTCCTGGGGTGCATCAAGCACAGCGCCACTGGCCGGTCAAGGGAGGTGACTGTCCCACTCCACACTGCACGGGCACGGCCCCACCTTGAGCACAGGGAACTGCCAGAGGGTGTCCAGAGGAGGGCGACCAGGATGGTGAAAGGTCTCGAGGGCAAGACTTAGGAGGAGCCGCTGAGGTCACTTGGCTTGTTCAGCCTGGAGAGGAGAAGGCTGAGGGGTGCCCTCATCCCAGTCTACAACTTCCTCGAGGGGGGCAGCGGAGGGGGAGGTGCTGATCTCCTCTCTCTGGTGACCAGTGGTAGGACACGAGGAAATGGATTGAAGCTGCGTCAGGGAAAGTTCAGATGGGACATTAGGAAAAGGTTCTTTCCTGTGAGGGTGGTGGGTCCCTGGAACAATTCCCCAGGGAAGTGGTCACAGCACCAAGCCTGTCAGAGTTCAAGGCATGCCTGGATGATGCTCTCAGTCGTGTGGTTTAGTTTTAGGTAGTCCTGTGAGGAGCAGGGAGTTGGACTTGATGATCCTTATGGGTCCCTTCCAACTTGAGATATTCTGTAATTCTGTGATAATGCAGCAACCTAGGAGCCCACATGCTTTGCAGAGCAGGCACCCCACACACTGTGGTGCAGTGGCACAGTGCCCCAGGCATCAGGGCTTTGGTTTAAAAATCAAGAAGTTTTGATCAGTCACAAATTGTCCAAGCGATGGATAGCCACAGAGAACCTCTAAGATGACAACAGCAGCACAGCTTTGACTCCCAAGATTTGGGAGAAGCACAGATATACAAGGAGTGGGAGGTATCAGTGCGGTGGGAGAAGCCTGGGGAGGCACCAATTAAGAGTGCAGTTCTGCATACCTGGTATGATGAAGGCAGTTGTTGGTAGGTGGGTGCTCTGCACAGTGCTCTCGGTGGTGACCACGTGGACACTGACCTCCCCAGCAGCACTCCCCTTTGTGCTCCTCACAACCTCCATCTCTGCTCTGCTGTCCATCACCTTGCCTGGGCACTGAGCAAGACACTGGACAAGAAAGAAATCAAGTTGGGTACAAGTACAAACACAACAAAAGAGAAGAGACCATGGAGAATGATCCCTCCCTTTCCACCATCTCCCAGTAGAAACCCCTGTAAGATGTATTAAAGGCTCATTGAACCCAACAGAGAACAGCATGAAGGTCACAGCTGGTACCAACATGACCTAGTAAAGCTCTTGTTGCGAGATTCCAGCTCAGAGCCTCTAAGTGCTGAGGGATTTTTCTTACCTGGCACCACCATAAGATGGTATCAGCACAGCAGGTCCACAAGCTATGGCTGCTCCTGACTCCCACCGGGGCCTACACCACTCTGACACAGACTGTGACTGAGGGTTGGCAAATCCCACCCTAGAGGAGTCTGAGGTCTCTGAAGTTCCCGTTCCAGTTCTCCCTTGATCTTCTAACTGGCTGTAAGAGAGAATTTCATAAGTGACAGGAATTAACTGGGGTGGTGGGGAACACAAAGTCCACTGCATGCAGCTGAGTTTCTCACAGAACTGGCAATTTCAACACTAGCCATGAATTTCAAGGAGTAGGCATGGGGCCAGGCCCTTACTGGCCCTGACCAGCCCCCCCCGGGACCCCCACCCATGGGCCCGGGGGCTCCACGCCAACCCACCCTCAGCCTGTCTATGCCATGCTGCAGCAGTGAGGGTCTCCAGCCAGGCTGGCATCCTGTCTTGATCTCAGACCTTGACTTGATGACTTGAACTCCTAAGCTGGACCTGGCCACAGCAGCCCTGCCAGTTACCTCCCTCAGCTCCCTGTCCCTGGGGCAGCAGCTGACCCCTGCTGCGCCCCAGCAGGCAGGATCCGGTCTACACCAGCATGTCCCCAGACCAGGGCCTGCCTGCAAGCCAGAGGGAAGAACAGCACTGCCTCCAGGTGCCCAGAACACCTTGGTGAGGGAGGGCTCTTGGTGCTGCTTCTACCTTAGTGAAAAACACAATGGACAGGCAGAGCTAAGCAGAAAACCAGCAGTATCATCAGATGTGCTCAGGGAAGGGGGTGTCTCCATGCCTACTGAAAATGATGGTCCGAATGTCCCAGAGACTGCCAGAGTCTGAGCACACTGGGCTGAGGAAGGATTTTGGACCTGCCCTGTTTTCTACACTCTCTTCAAAGCACTTGCTGCTGGGATGGAGGCAGGGCTACTATGAGCATCATGTTGATGTCTTGGTTGCTTTTGATGCAACTGAATTTGAAAGACAGTCGTGGAAAACAGGATGATCATTTCAGTGAAGCATAGTTAAATAAGAATCTAGTTACAGAGGGCAAAGTCTGGAATTTTAAAACCTGAGACATTAGGAAAAAGGTGTTACAACCAGAGGGTAAAGAGTGGGATGGTGTGCTCATGTTAGGGGAGGACCTACTCATTCCTTGCTCTTACAGTGCTGCCAGTTTGTGATCAGAAATACCTGATGTTCAACTGACAGATGGCATGGACCTTTAAGACCCCCCCCAGGTGCAACATCAGAAAAGCACTGTTAAAGAGTCAGGAGAACTGAAGGAACTGAGTAACTCAGCTGGACACCAGACTCCAACTGAAAGCCAAAAGGAATTTGGCAGCCAACCTATCTTGGTGTTTCCTAATACCCACTAGGAACCTATCTGCTTTCTTAGGCACTTTGGTATTTATCCTTGATTAATCACTTCGGCCAAATGTTTCAAGGATAGCTCCTCGTTTTGTGTGAGCTGTTGGCTTCTTCTTATTTAAACAGAACTTCAAACTGGAAATGCCTAGAAAGGAAGAGAAATAACTAGATCCAGTGCCCAAGCTGGGTGATGCTCAAACTCATTTCTGTACAGAAGTCTATGATGTGAACACAAAAGCAAATAACTGCACAGAAAATAACCAGCAGTAATTACCACATGTCACTCTCCAAATCCTTGTGGGGCTGCCTGATGATGCTGTTGAGACTGGTTCTCCTGTGCCTTATGAGTTCAGGGTGAACAGAATGAATTTGGATTATAGATTGCAGAACTATTCCTTAAACTGGAAGAACTAAATAACTGAGATTTAGGACTTAATCTCCAGACAGTCTCTCCTCCAACAACCTCCTGGGGAAGACCTCACTGCAGCAAGGGGCACGTCCCCCAACCTCAGAGGGTCAGGAGCCCTCCAAGGAGCTTGAGGGAGGCTGATGAGCCCATCCAGACCATGGCCCTGCCCTACAACAGTCACTCCTGTTCCTCTTATCTGCCCTTCCACAGCAGTACCCATGATTCCCCTGGCACCTCTGGAAAAAGCAACCTCTTTCTTGTTGGCAGAAACCTTTCCTAACACCTTGCCTCAACTCCTGCCCTTCAAGCACATGTAGAGCACAAATTCTGCAAACAACCCCTCCAGCATGCATCCTGCTCCATTCCACAGGGGAGCAAAGGCTTTGAGGTCCTGGACACCAGAAAACCTTATGCTTACAGACATCTCAAGTCACATTTCTCTCCTTTTAAGATCCATGGTGGGGAGACAGGCCCAAAGCTGTTTCAAGACCACACATGAGCAGCAAGAACATTGTTGCTGTGAACTTGTAAGCACATCATTGCCACAAGTGAAACCCAGCAACTCTCAGGGCTCTCCTTCCTCTTATAAAGGGCTTCCACAGTGTTAAACAACAATTTACCACCAACACTGCTCACATCAACCATAGCACATATCGTTCAATTTTTAACTCAGGATTTTTTAGATAATCCCCGCACAAACAGCCCCAAGCCCCAGAGCACTGCTCTGGATGACTGCCCTTCAGTGCTCTGGAACCTTGCCGGTGGGATGGGTGCAGGCATGACGTAGCTGCAGAGCTCCATCCCCAACCTGGAGGAGTGAGAATCAGGACTGGAGACATTGTTTGCAGCTCACAGTTTTCAGAACCTTGGCAGAAAAAACCTTGGAAGCTCAACCTGCTGTGACATATCTCAGGTCGGAAGCAGCATATGAGAAAAAGGGAAAGAAAAGAAGAGAAAAAGCCACAGCTATGATCTGCCCTAGCATCACTGTCACAGCAGGAAAAGGCACTGGCACACATCTCTTTGGACAACTCTGCTCCCTGAGAGCAGGACCTCTAAGACATGTCAGGGAGAGGATGCCCGTGGCTGGGACAAGTACGGTTGCTTCAGTGTATGGAGCCAGAGATGGGCAGATACCGCCACTCCAGAGATCATTTCAAGGGGTCTCCTGCAAGCTTTGGTAGGACCCATTAAGGATCACAGGATAATTCAGGCTGGAAGGAAGCTCAGGAGGTCTCTAGTCCAACCTCCGGCTCACAGCAGTGTCAGCTATGGGATCAGACCAGGTTTCTCAGGACTTCATCCAGTCTGGCCTTGAAAACCTCCCAGGATGAAAAACATGCTTCCTGAAAATTAGCACTACACGTAGCAAAACAAAGTAACATGTTCCCTTTCTGGTGACTACTCTAGACTGTGAACAAAAGGTTTATTTATTTTCTAAATTTTTTATTTAGTTGGGATCTTAAAAAGCTTTTGGCCTACAGGTGCCCCAGTGACATCTGATAAAACTGCCTGCCTCAATATGACCAGAATTAGACCAACACTTAGCAGCTTTCACAAACCTCACCACTCATATTTTAACCTAGCAAGCAATTGTAAAAGTGAAAGCTATTTTAGAGTTATCAGTGAGGCCCTGAGTTTTCCAGTTTTTCCAGGTATTGAAGTGTAACTCCATATGTCTTACAGAGCATGTAGGTCAGTCTGCCTCCCCAACAAGCCTGCCATTTAGTCTTTCCTTTAGGCCCACAGGGACCTAAAACTGCACACCCACTCCTCTCTTCTGCCTTCAGCAAAGGGATAACCAAGGACCTCAGGCTCCCATTCTGGAGAAGCCAGAAAGGAGAAAAGCCACCCTAGGAAACCCTGGCCACACATACACCCTGAGCCGCGGTCCCTCCAGAGACCACCACATGCTGGCTGGAAGGAGGAATGTTTCAAGACAACTTTCATCCATCCTCTTTCTTGGCCTGCTTTGCTCCACTAAAGCAGTTCTTGCAATCACATTTGTCATATATGAGTATGTATGTGCCTATGGCCGTCTGTCTGCAGTCAGACCTCACCAGCTTATTTCAAGCAGTTCTGACAGCAAGGTTAGATGCCGCTGTAACAGTGGGCTCTACCAGAGTCAAACCTTAAAGTTTGGGAAATGAAGCATCTGTACAGAGCAGGGTCTCTGCATCGCCCCTCACCTCGCAGGGGACGGCATGAGAACTAAGCAGGGGCTGAACTTCCCGAGCACCAGAGAGCGGCTAGGGACAGCTGACCTGTGCACGCATACTCACACGTGCAGAGGAAGCTGGCTACAAACCACACGTTTTAAAGGCAAAGCTGTTCACAAAGTTTCTGCTCATCAAACAAGAAACGTTGGGTGTTGGCACACCAGCACTCTGGACCAGTGACACAGGGGCTTGGGAAGCAAACATGTCTATGGCTGCTATACATACAAGCCTCCAACTCTGTCACAGTCTCACATCCACCCGCTTGCAAAGCCCCAGCAAATCCAGGAAATGATCCACTGTTTCGAAAGAGGAGGGAAATGCTGCATGCAACAGGCCATAGAGGAGCAGGGGGAAAAGCAGCTCCCAGCACAGAGACACCGTACAGCCCCATCAGCACTGGTCTGATGCAGTCTGGTCAAAATACATGTTTCTTTTCATCACAAAATTGGATTCAAATAACTGTATTTCAAAAAATATTAATATGTTTATTGGCTTTGTGGATTCTCAGATTTTCAAACATTCCTGAAATCCACAGTGGTATATGCTGGGGGCTGCCCAGCTGGAAAGCCAAAGCTTGACAGAAACGCCCTGGGGGTGCTGGTGGACACAACACTGACCATGAGCCAGCAACGTGCCCTCACAGCAAAGGCACGAACTAAAGGTGTCCTGGGCTGCGTTAGGAGGAGTGTTACAGCAGTGGGAGGGAGAGAGGGGATCCTTCTCCTCTGCTCAGCACTGGAGAGGCCACCCCTGCAGTGCTGGGTCCCGTGCTGGGCTCCCAGTACAGGAGAGGCAGGGACATACTGGAGAGAGTCCAGCGAAGGGCCAGGAAGGTGATGAAGGGACTGGAGCATCCACCACGAGGAGAGGCTGAGAGCTGGGACTGTTCAGCCCGGAGCAGGGCGGGCTCAGGGGGCTCCCCCCAGCGCGTACAGAGACCTGGAGGCAGGGTGCAGAGGACGGAGCCAGGGTCCTCTCAGTGGTGCCCAGGGACAGGACCAGTGGGCACAAACTGGCACCCAGGAGGGTCCCTCTGAACATCAGGAAACACTTTTGCACTGTGAGGGTGACCGAGCGCTGGCACAGGCGGCCCAGGGAGGTTGTGGAGGCTCCACCCATGGAGATACTCAAGGTCCTGGGCAACCAGCTCTAGGTGGCCCTGCTGGAGCAGAGGGCTGGAC